AGGAGTAAAAAATAAAGAAAATATCTAACAAAGTTAGTGGTCTTAAATTTGCTGAATTGCTAAAATAGGCTTTATTTAATAAAAGTATCAGATGAATATAATATGCATTTGCTCGTCTGAAAATGTTCCCCTTGAGATTCAATATAGCAAGCTTTATTAGGTTTTAATCAGTTAGAACAGTTAATCAATTACTTAATCTGGTTAAAGATGCGGTTTATTCCCACGAAGGCGCAGTTATTGACTGTAACGGATTAAACGAGGTCGTTTTCGACAACTTCGTGGGAATGCAGCTCCTAGGGATTAAAATGGATTAAAATCGTAACAGTGGTGTTATAGATTGTTACGATAAGAATTTACACTTTCATAATCCCCAATGTAACTAATTAACCAACATTTTAGCATCATTTTTGGCATAAAAAAAATAAAAACATAACTACGCTATAACAAAAATTATAAATTTAATTTCGCCAAATAAGACACCCTGTCTAAATACTCGATTAAAGTCAATTCCTCTTCCTCGTGTCTTCCTTTTAATTCCTGGAGCTGGCTTTAGATTTGAGCATATTTATATCTCTTACTTGGTGGTTCATGTCCCCCAGCATACTGAACGATTCTAATCTCATTAATATTTTGTTCTTGTTGTAAAAATGTCATAATTTCAAAAACATTCAGATGGGCTTTTCCAACTAGCTTCTTGCATGCCATCCTTAATGAGTTTTGTTGGTTCAGAGTGAACATAAATTCATAAAATCTTTAACACCGTTAATTGGGTCCTAATTGCAACATGCCTCTCTTCCACCGAAAGCCGACAAGTCGATATCTGCGCCTTCGTGGGAAGGATTAATTTTGGTTACGCCCTGTAACTGCGCCTTCCTGGCAATACACCAAAGATGCCTTCCCCATGTACTAACTGGTTAATTTGATGATATATATTCAAACTAAAAACATATTCAAGTCAATCTGGCAGACAATAAGCCCTCAAGCTGACAATTAGTGATACCCTGACATTTTTGTCCAGTGCTTGCCCCATGTTTTTTTTTTTCAGGGAATCCAGTATTTTTCTAGTAAGATTGGGCGTCTCTACTTTCAATATATACCAAATTTGCTATACTTTTATTGGATATAACCACCCTATATGAATACTTTCATGGGAATGTCTCTTTAATAATAATAATGTAAAACAGTTACGATACTACAATGAGTTTTGGTGTTCAGGTCCCAGGTTAACAAAACATTCTTAACTTAAGAATTTACTGAAAAATTGTTCGCCTTCTTTCAACTAAAATATAGCCCTTTATAAAACTTTTGTTGTTTTACTGTGTCAAATACATCAATAAGAAACTATGTACAAATTTTTGTGTTTCTGGATCAAAAATATTTTTCATAAACAGTGATAAGTTGAGTAAATTCTTAACTGAAGTCTGAGAATGCTTTGTGAACACAGGGTCCGATTAAGCTTGGATATATTTTTTAAAACAGAAACCCTAATAAATTAAAGGATTAACAGTATGGAGAACTGTGAAATACTTTACTATATTAACAAATATGCAGTTGCACTTTTGATGATCCCATGGGTTTTAATAATAGCAGATTTTATTAGGTTTTTATCAGCGTTAAGAGTAAATCAATTACTTAATCTGCTTGATAATGTTATTATTAATCCATACGTCAAATTCTAAAAGGTTATTGATGAAATATCTCGAGTTATTTATTATTTAGTTCACCACATTAAAAATATCTTTGCTCTGCCAAACACATGTCAACTGCATGTTTAATTTATGAACATTTTATGATTTCAAATTTCCGAGTTATCATGCTCTACATGATCTAATTAAACTACAGATCCTATTTCGTTGCGTTTTTTATAGTTCACTTGCCTTCACTACACTAGGATCTGGAAGAGTTGTTACATGTGTAAATATAACCGGTCTTCTGGTTGATGTGAGGAATTAGCCAATGTAATTGTCTGTTGTTGCGAGTTCTTGGTGTGCGGTGCACGTAAATGTGGGTAGACATTCGCTGCGAAGACAAAGCAAAAGTTGTATTTCCCAATACCTAGGGGGGTGGGGGGTTGGATGGCCGAATGGTTAGCAGTGCTAACTTAGCAAGTGTCATTGAGTCAACTGGCGTGGTTTCGAATCCCCGGTTGTATGTGACAAGGAGTAGGGTCGCCTGTCCAACCTCGTGGGTTTCCTCCGGATCCTCCGGTTTCCTCCCACTTCTAAAGACCCCTAAGTGCAAGCGAATTATTGAAATAAAATTAAACCATATGTTAGTCCCGAAATGACCTAGTTTGTGTCAAGTGGACATTAAACCTCATTTCTCTCTCTATCTCTCTTTCCCAATACCTACTTGAAACATCAACACTGATTGGTTAGTCAAATGTCTGACGTCATAAGGTCAAAAGCCGCTCGTATGACCCATGGGGGACTTCTGACTACAACCGGTCAGATCTTCATGTAGTGTAGGCCATCAAAAGTATAAAAAAAACGAAAGATTGAAAATGTGGTGTTAGATTGATTTCTAGCAACTTCTTTATTTGAATTAAATTTAAATTAATGTAACAATCAACATACAAAAGCTTTTTCTAAATTATTAACGAATAAATACTCTAGGATTACCATATATATTTATTAAGAAGCCTATATTACAGTTTGTTAATCACTGTGTTGGTTAAACAGTGTGATATATAGCATTCCATTATCATACAAATTATCGACTAGTTTTGTTGATAAATTAATTAGAGATGTATTGAAGTTGTTAAATCACTCAAGCATTTGGCAGTTTTTGTTTATGGTGGTTACCTAGCAACTAAGGCCACCCTGAGCTGAAAATAAATATATGATAATTTGATGACATGTAGGGGTCTTATGTTTATGTTTTTAATGAAATAAGTCAAAAAGCAAATAATATTTCTAAAATCATCAGCCCAGTCGTAGCAGAACAGTAGGATGTTAAAATCCATTTCATTTGATTTCATATTTATATAATAAACCAAAATAACTAGCTGTTACCTGGGGTTACACAGTTAGAGCCCAGCGACAAAACTGAAAGTAGTAGTATAACTCTGAAACCAGAAGCAGTAGTGCAATGCCACTAGAGCTATGTCACTCCCAAATATCAGCTTATGGATAGCCATACATATGTAGTGATCTGTGAACCCTGAGCCCACAAACAAACAAACAATAGTAACAAATATAAACTTAGAGAATATCATGAATTTTATATAAAGTAAGTTTTTGGTTTCATGCATAGTTGGAACCTCTAGGGAGTTTGAATTGTTTGTCATTGATTCAAAGATACCTTCCCACATACAAACTGGGTGATTGATGATATATTTAGACTAAAAACATATATTGAAACTAATTTAAGATGCATTATGTAAGATTTAGATAAAGAGCTAGCCATTCTTGCTATAATAGTTCAAAAATAGATAATGTAAAATGAATAAATTGAATTTTCTAGCTATCCTCTGGTTTCTTTCCACGGATAAAAAAACCGCACTGAAATAAAAAAAATATTCAATATGTTTGTGGGGTTTATATACCCCACCACTACACTCCATTCATTAAACTTTACCGAAAGTGGATATATCAAGGTGTTCTATTGCTGAAAGTAGAATTTGAGGGTGTTAACCTCATGTCTACATTCCATTCCTGAAAATTCCCCGGTTGTAGGTGACAAGGGTCGTCTGTCCATCCTTGTGGGTTTTCTCCAGGTCCTCCAGCTTCCTCCCACTGCTAAAGACCTCTACGTGTATGAAAATTATTGTAATAAAATTGAATCATGTTAGTCCCAAAATGATCTAGTTTATGTTGAGTTGACTCTCTTGCTTTCCCCCCATTCCTGAAAGTAGAATTCAGGGTTCTAAATCTCATCTCTCAGCTACATTCCATTCCTGAAAGTAGAATTCCATGTAGAAAAGTAGGCCGTTCAACCCCAATACACATCTACATTCCATTCCAGAAAGTAGAATTCCATGTAGAAAAGTAGGCCGTTCAACCCCAATACACATCTACATTCCATTCCAGAAAGTAGAATTCCATGTAGAAAAGTAGGCCGTTCAACCCCAATACACATCTACATTCCATTCCAGAAAGTAGAATTCCATGTAGAAAAGTAGGCCGTTCAACCCCAATACACATCTACATTCCATTCCTGAAAGTAGAATTCCATGTAGAAAAGTAGGCCGTTCAACCCCATTTCACATCTACATTCCATTCCAGAAAGTAGAATTTTTTGGTTAAAACTTTACGTTTTTCTTGTTAAAATTGATGTCAAGACACAATGTCATTACTTAGACAATATTTTAAATTTGAATAATAGATTAATATTGATTTTGTCTGGATAAAAGTACCATAGACTAGACTAGACTAGACTATAGATAAGGGCAACCACGGTGGCTAAGTGGGTAAGATGCTGGCTGGCTAATCTTGGGGTCATGTGTCGATCCCTGCATCAGCTCAGAAAGTTCATCAGGATTTTCCGACGTGGTTTCCCTCTTGTTAGTGGTGCAGGACGGAGGACCTGACAAGGATAGCTGTCTAGTCGTTCGGATGGGACAGAAAACCGAGCTTCCGTAACAGATCCCTTAGCAGTTGGATTTTGATATAAGAGTAGGTCATAGTGCCACTGCCCACGTAAAATTTCTCTCATAGCACACTGCATGGCAACATACCTTATTAAAAATTCAAACAGCATCTAAACACATGATCATTTTAATAGTGTATGCTTTTTAACATGACACCAGGGTCACCATCCTAAACTGATGTTTTTTGGTCAGGTTTTATTTTTTATTTTTCTCTCACTGCTGCTGCGATTTAGATCATAAGGTCTGTCGATACAAGCGAATTATTGATATAAAATTACCTGTTTATGTCGATTGGATGTTCGAGTGGATGTTGATTGCGATTTCTCTTTCTCTCTCACCACAAGTCATCTTGGACAATTATGTTTATGTACACTACAATTAAAATTTAATTTTTGGATTAATTTTACAGGTGGAACCAGTCTATCATTCCAAATTCCGAGCATCTGGTAGAAGCAAACACATGAGAAATGAAGGCAAGATAATCAAGTAAGTTACTTCGTAAAATACCTGGATGAGGCATGAACTTCAAAACTTTTTCTCAACATATTTAGTTGAGCTTCACAGGGTTCAGAGAATATTTAGTGGCTCAGTGAATAAGGCGCTGTCTCACTAACCAGGAGATCCCGGGAGTCTGGGTGTTAACCAAAAAAGTTCCTGGAGATTTTCCAGCCTTGTTACCACCTTGTCATTGATATGGGACATGTGTACATGTTTGGGTCAGTGTAATGAAATAAGTTTAACGTCCTACTGTTCTGCTCCGAACTGGGCTAATATAGACGGGCATACGCCATACAGTGTGCTATGAGGGAAATTTTGCCCTGACAGCTGCACTACGGCCTACTCTTATATCATATTCCACCTGTCAAGGGATCTTTAACGTGCACACCAATGTGTACACGGGACCTCGGTTTTTCGTATCATCTGAACGACTAGACAGGTGCAGGGATGGAACACTCATCCTCCAGGCTAGCAAGCCAGCACCTTACCCACTTAGCCACCGTTATCCCCATGGGTCAATGTTAAAGTACCCATGGAAGTTGGAATTCAGCTGATACACCAGCTCCCTGACGAACATCAGATGTCCCATGTGTGCCATTGGTGTAGAGAAGTAAGATGCTCAACCCTATTTCGTTATTGAAATAAAATTGAACCATAGGTTGGTCCCAAAATGATCTTGTTTGTGTCGAGTGGATGTTAAACCCCATTTCTGTCTTGTGTGCAAGTGAAAAGAAGAATTACAGATGTTAGTTCGAACATACGCTAGTGTTGTCGAATAGATGTTTAAAACCACGTTTGCTATACTTTACTTATATAATATATTAAATTTTATGATAAATTTGAAAATGAATTTGTTTGGGGTTTTTTTTTATTTAAGGTGTTGGCCGAATGGAGATGATGTTAACGAACCCCGAACTATTTTGTTAACAAGTTGGATGCAGGGTGATCTAGAAGTTATTAAAGATGCTGTATCTGAGAGAATATCACAACAAATAACTGGTCCAGTTGCTAAGTAAGTAAATAGCCAGACGCCTTGATTGTAACTTATATAGGAAGCTGGGGGCCTAATGTTTTAATACTTTTGCTTTAGATCTGACGCCTCCAGGGCTGTCGGTAATTTTTCACAGTTGATTAGCAGCACTGCTAATCAAACAGTCCAATTTTGCCAAATTTGATTAGCAAATTTAAAGATTGATTAGCAGTTTTTCAGTTTCAATGTAAAACACCTAAATAACAAGATATTACTTTAATTCATAACAAATATAATTAGATTCCATTCTGACTATTCTTAGATTTTTGAGCACTACCACACGTACTTGTGACAGTTTGTGAATGTGATGTAGACATTTAGTTAGGTCTTATGTCTGAAGCCAATTCTTGACAGTGACATCCTAAGCCCCACTCATTTTAATTGTTATTTTTTTGTTACGTTAGAAATCTTCGTTAGAAAACAATTTCGTCTGCTTTTTATCTTGTATTACTATTTTTGTTCAATCGGGCGCACCTCGATTAACTAGACACATGCAATATAAACAATAATATTTTATGGGAATTTTTACTTTGATTTATCATTTTACAATACGTTAACATGTATTTATTTTTTTATATTTTATTTACAATACGTGGAGGATACACTGGATTTATTTCTTTCAAAATGAATTTGATATAATTACTTGATGTCTCGCAACGTGAGTGGTACTACCTGATTCCCTATTTCCAGTTTAATAGTCCCTATTCATAGAGTTATGTCCCTGTGTTATATAGTATTGTGTCTGGATAGTTCGAGAAGAAAATGTCACACGGAGAATTCAGTTTTGTTTATAAAATTTTATTCAACATTTTATATACATTGAAAGTGTTGAGTAAGCCTTCTAGTCTTCAAAATGTGGATTATTCTTGTGTCAATATCCAAAATGACAGGCATATTAATAATTCGCAGTAACTGCGAATCAAAAACGTTAGATTTTAATTTTTGGTTAGCAACGGACAAAAAATGTATCGCAAATTGCGCTGCGATACTGGTTGTCAGCAGCCCTGGACGCCTCGATTGTAACTTATATAGAGAGCTGGGGCCTAATGTTTTAATACTTGCGCTTTAGATCTGACACCTTGATTGTAACTTATATAGGAAGCTGGGAGGGGGTGGCCTTTATGAGTTAAAGCATGTACTTTAGATCCGAATATCGCAACAAATAACTGGTTGCTAAGTAAGTAAATAGTAAAAGTCTGATATAATCTTTGAATGGCATTTAGCGATTGAACGTAATATAACACAACACAGTTCTATGGATAAAAATCACTATATTATATACACAAGAATTCACTAGTCGTTATCAAGCATATCAAGCATTTTGCATTGTTCGTCTTTTCAGATTATATACAAAGGAAGGAGTTAAAATCAATGATCCGAAGCAGATAGAACATGGTGGCAAATATGTTGCTGTTCGTCATCATGATAGGTTACGTGAAGTCAACTATCGAGATAGTGCTGCCAGAAACCTCATCACTTCACCCAGAGTAGATCAAAAGTATGAAATATTGTTAATTTTAATTATTATTGAGAACATTTTTTTTTTTAAAAAACTAGTTGAATCTGAGTACCGGTATCATTGAAAAACGGCTAATTTTAATAATTATTGAGAATATTTTTTAAAAAACTACTTGAATCAGTGTATCATTAAAATATTGCTACTTTGAATTAGATCAAAAGTATGAAATATTGACATTGTTAATTTTAATTATTATTGAGAACATTTTTAAAAAAACCAAACTAGTTGAATCTGAGTATCGTTGAAAAAATGGCTAATTTTAATTGTTATTGAGAATATTTTTTAAAAAAACTACTTGAATCTGTGTATCATTAAAATATTGCTAGTTTGAATTATTAATGAGAACATTTAGCAAAGATAACTAGTTGAATCTGGAGTATCATTGATAGATTGCTATTTTGAATTATTATTGAGAACATTTAAATAAAAACTACATGTAGTTGAATTTGAGTATCATTTTTAAATATTGTTAATTTGAACATTTAAAAAAACTAGTTGAATCTTGAGTATCATTGATCAAAAGTGTTGGAAATAACAATTCTTGTTGTGTTGTTTGTACCTAACTATTGAAATTATTCCCGACATTTTTAACTTTGTCTAAGACATTAATATATCGATAAAAACACAGAAAAAAGTCAAATCAGTACCAGACAAAATGATAGTTTGATAGGCACTAGCAGGATTGTGTCTGACAGGTGCCTTATTTCCAGGCCTGTGATGATCAAGAAACAATTTGTTACCTTTTTGAACTGGCCACTAATGGTTACAATTGATAATAATATATACTGTAGCTATATATCCTTTAGAAATAAGATTTGCAGAAAAATTTAAACAGGAAAAGATATTTTGACTAAAATTAAAGTATAAAACAAAAATTAAGAAACAATTCGCTAACTATTTTTGAATACCTGCCACTAATGGTTTCAATATAAAAATGATAGTTGATAATATATAGCTAATAACATTTAGAAAGAAATATAGAGAAAAAATTTGAACAGTAAAAAATATTGTGGCTAAATTTAAAGTATAAACATTCATATTATATTTTATGATTTGTGTCCCATATATTAGGAACTGTCGCAAAATTTCAACACCTGCGTCTAAATGAATAACCCGTGAAACTGCGTGGGTGTGATGAACGACACCACAAATATAAAATGTTAAATTAAATATAGGTTATTTATTATTGAATAATGAACGGTAATATATCAATATTTTATTACTCTGTTGACGTGGATGGGCAGTTGAGGATCTATCCGCATGTTATTTATTTGGAAGCAAGTATCAAAATTGTGCGACAGTCCTTTATTACTTTGCAGATATCAACAGATTTTCCATTTTTAAATGTTTAAAAGTTTTGTTAGTTGTTTTTTTGTGTTATTTTCATATTTCATTTAAAGTCTCTGGTCGCCATTTGAGAGATTCTGAATCCCTGGCAACCTCTAGGATCCCACCTATGTGCGATGTGTTACGATAGGAATGTCCCTATTGAGTCCACGATTTGCAACATGCAGATACGTTTGGATACGTTTTCATATGATCAACACGAATGTTACAACTGACCTTAATATATGACAAGGCTACGATAGGATCACTACAATTACTCTACAATTAAAACTACGATTTCAATCTCAGCACGAATCATGATAGTGGGAACCTACCATTAGAAGGAATATACTTCCAAAAATGGCCCAATTCTGTTCACTGTTTACAAAGATATGATGAAACTTTGTCAACATTTGGCATCCACCGAAGACAATGTTTAAACGGGATATAGTCAAAACAAGTCGTTGGTGCCTGTAATCTTGTCTAAAATCTTTTGACAGCCCTCTTTTTAATCCGATTGAATGTTTTGATTTTGTTTTCTTAAAGATACATTATTGAGATTAGATAAAGAGCTGTAGTTTTCACTATAATAGTTAAAAACTAGATAATGTAAAGGGAATTTGCTGAAAATTTCAGTCAAATTGATCCACCCTGAACCGAGTATTTAGCGATTGAATTTTGGGCCTAGCCGCGATCATCATTACTGAAGTCGGTACGATAAAAAACATAGTCTCGATAATCCATTTTTTTATTTAATCAGAAGCAGCAGATCGGGTTCTAAGTAATCCAGTAAATATCGCAGGCTAGCGATGCCATAGTGAGTTGATTCTGGTCTGGATAATTTAATTAATGTCTAATTGATAATTTAGATAATATTTCAGGCCTAAAGAAAGACCTGCAGTTGGCAGATTTAGCTCTTGCATAATGTATGTTTAATCAAATATTTAATATCCAATGTGAGTACATTTTAGCATGGATGAAGCCATGAAAAATGAGATTGTCTGAAAAAAACAAATGGCAATCAGTGACTTTAAATTGTTAACAGTTTATTGTTAAAACAATCTGATTAAAATACAGATCTATATTTCGTTTTATATTTTCGATGGCCTACACTACATGAAGATCTGACCGGTTGTAGCGATTGGTCGCGTCAGAGGTCATACAAGCAGCTTTTGACCTATGACGTCAGACATGTGATTAACCAATCAGCATTGATGTTACTAGTGGATTACCCACAGTTCCGTGCAAAACACTCCTAAAGCTCGTCATAACAGACGGTTTCATTGGCTAATACCTCACACCATTCAGAACACGTCAATGATAACAACTCTTCCAGATCCTAGTGTAATAAAGACAAGTAAAACGAAATTTTGAACTATAGAACTGAAATGAAATAGGATCTGTGTTTTAATCAGATTTTTGTTCAAATGTTTGCATGTGTTGAAACTTGATTTATTTTCAGGTATTTACCCCCAATCAGCCGTTCTCAAAAGAGTAGTAAATTCTCAACACCGGACACCTCCCATCCAACATCATCATATGGAGGCTCAGAAAATAGTAATAATACATACACTCAAAGGTGCACATATTTCTATTAAAGGGGTATTCCCAGTTTTCACAGTGTCTCTGAAATAAAAGTATGCAAACATATAGAAAAAAAGCCAATTTGAAAGTTTCAGATCAAAATGTCGAGCCGTTCGGAAACATCGCTATAAATAAACATCCAAGTAACTTGTTTTCCATATAGTTGGGTGGCTGAATCGGTGAACGCGTGGTTTTGATTCACCGCTAGTACATGACAAAGTGTAGAATCGCTTGTCCAATTTCATGGGTTTTCTCTGGGTCCTCCGGTTTCCTCCCACAGCTAAAGACTTTTAGGTGCAAGCAAATTATTGAAATAAAATTGAACCATGTATTAGATTAGTCCCAAAATGTCCTAGTTTGTGTCGAGTGGACTTTAAATTTACATTTTTGTTTCAGTTGATTTTTTTGTTTGTTCTTCGGTTGTTTTGCCATTTGGCATTTAACGCTGTTCTTGCCGTAATAGTTTAAAAATAGATCATGAACAATTTGATATATTAAAATTTCAGTCAATCCTTTATTCTGATGAAAGTTATGTTTGAATGTTTGAAGTTTTGACTAGGAATAGCATAAATAATTTTGATTGTCAAGTACCATTTCTACAATAATAAACATCTCGATTTTCCATTTCAACTTTTAACAAAGATATGGCAAACATTGTCTAATCAACTTAATATCTCAACCACCTGATAATCTAGAGAGGTGATTATGGGCTTGTCATATGATTCAAAAATAATAATTAAGGTTATATATTACATTTGAACCCAGAAAATAGATGTAGGCAGATTTAGCTCTTACATAATGCATCTGACTTTAATAACCCAAATCTTTTTCTTAAATTAGATACCGCAGAAATCATCCTAAAAAAGAGGAAGATGGAGTATTTCACGCCAAACCAGTGGCGCACAAACGTTCTTCTGAAAACCATAAGAAGGTGGATTATGATAAAGGTAAGCAATTTATATTTCTTATTCTTTATCCATGTACTGTTTGTTCTGTTACAAGTAGTAAGGGCGTCTGTCGAACCTCATGAATTTTCTCCAGGTCCTCCAATTTCCTCCCACTGTTAAACCCCATATCTCTCTCTCTCTCTCTCACTCTCTCTCTCTCATGCTCATGTGTGCTGGAATTATGGGTGTGCGAACCGTGTGATTGGACAGTGTGCACAACCAAGAGAAACCCCAACATTTCACAGATATTTACCGTTAATGTTCTAACCAAATTATTCATTTTTGGTTAGCCTCTTCAGTGCCTTTATTTCATATTCAGATGTGGATGTTTGACATTGAACATTGAAAAACCATTTGTCATTAGGTGGCCAGCACAGAGCTCAAAATATCAGGATGTGTTATACAAGATGCATTAATTTTAAAGTGATAACTTCTATTTACAAATCTCAAGTGTCAAAGTGGTCTAATACTCACACTGTGAACCGGATACCATTGACTAATGAACATAGGCCATTTACTAATTGAATGTTTTTGTCATTAAACCATACAACTGATCATTATTCTGAACTAATGTTTAGTGTGTGTATAATATAAAAAGTGGTTAGAAATTTTACAATAGTCATTTATTAGCAGATATTAATTTTAACTAACTAATATAAACATTATGCATGATGACTAAGGTCTGTTAGTATCATATTTTGTCATTTATGAAAGTTTTTTGTTCATTAGTAAAAGATATCAACTTTATAGTGTCAACAGTTTTATCTTCTTTCTAGTAATATTTTGGTTTGTTTTTATATTAGATGAGGGAGGTGTGTTTAAAGCTAAAAATGAGAACAGATCAACTCGTGGAGCAAGGGAAATAGAAGAAAGCAACGAAACAAAAGTAGATTTACCTATTGATCAAAGAGAGGCTGAAATTGTTACGGTATGTTTAATATCTTAATTGGTACAGAGATTAGTTTGAACTCTATAAAAATCACTCTGTTGACTCTTCAGCACTGTGTAAGGTTTAGATAAATAGCTGGATGTTCTTCCAAAAATAGTTCAAAAATAGATAATGAAATATGAATATGGGAAATTTCATATTCATACAAATTTATTCTTTGCGAAGTTGTCAGAGTTTGAAGATATAGCGTAGATTGTTTATTATCATAGCAACGGTATTTGACAATCAAGACAAAGTCTAGGTTATCCTTTTTTGAAAATTTTATTATTAAATCCATTAATAATCTTGATAATCTTTAACTAGCATAGTATTAAAGTGTTAGTTTTAACTCTGCAAGTCACTTGGTTCTTAATCTAAAATTCTTACCAACACCATTGTATTAGATTTAGAGGATTTATTTGGTTAGTTTTAACATAATGACTTTGACATCTGGCCCTCAAGGAGGTGACGGAGAATTTGCTGGGCACATCCATGTGGCTCATGGTTTGGCTCATAAAGTGATTAAATCAAAAATGAATTACTAAAAATTATAATTGATTCTAAAAATGACATTATATTTGTTAGTGTTTATGTTTTCAACATTAACTTGTACTACCAGTAGACAATTTCCAATAGATATCTGTTTCTTCATTTTATTCTTTCTTTCTCTCTCTCTTTCTTTCTCTCATTACATTTCCTATCATCAATACAGGAAGAACGCATAGTTGGGCATGAAAAATCTGTCAAAGTTCCTGCTGGAACAGAATTAACCAAGATGCCCTCAGAACAGGTTTGATATTAAAAGATTTGACAAAATATGTTCAAAGTTTCGACCCGTTCAATTGGAATTTACTGCTGCATCTTACTAAAGAAAATTGTTTGCATTTGATTTGCATGTTTTATTTTCTTATGTTTAAAGAATGCTAGTTATGTTTGGTTTAAAGAATTTCAATCAAAAGATCTGAAATTTGTAAATAAAAAACGGCAAAGATTTCAAGAACGCTGGTTTCGTGTCGACATAAATGTTTATATCAAAAAATACTGACTGCGATAATTTTAAAAAACGGTGCTATGTGCACCAAAGATGACGTTGCAAACAAGTTGTGTTTTGAGATATGGCTGAGCGAGCATATTCTCCGACTTCATTTGAGAGTACAAGAAGAGGGGTTGCTGTCAGCTCTCAGCATATCGTCATCCAATCACTGCATTTGCACTTATTTACAGAGAGGAGCCACACCTTGTTTCATGTCCATTCCTAGAATATTGATTGAAATTTTTGAACATAAAAAACATTAGACAAAATCAAAATAAAATTATTTTTTAGGGCCAGTCATCTGATCTTTTTTTTTTGTTTTAAATAAATGTTTCAAATGCAACATACTACATTAGCCTTACATTATATGTAACATCTCTTTCATCATTTGTTTTGATTGTATCAGGAGACAGATGATGAAGAATCTGACACACCAACACCTGAAATACCCACATATAAACCACACTCATTCCACGAATATAAATACCCAGATGAACGTGATTATGATCTTGATTATCGCGCCAGTCAACGACAAGTAAATACTCCAAATTATCAACCCTCTATGGATGATACATATGGCTACCCAATAGAGGTAAATCAGAGCTATGTTCGAGAGGAACCTGCTCCTCAGCAGCACGAAGGAAGGAAATCCCTTCGTAAGAAAAAATCTGTCACGTTTTCTCCTGCCACATCACAAGCCAAGTTGGCATATGAAAACAAAACATATCTGCAGAGAAAAGGTTTTGTTAAACCACCACGTAGAAAAATTCCAGTTAAGGACTCTAATGAAGCAGATGAATATGATTCTGTGATGCGTTTGGAAGAATGGCAGGATGACGAAATAAAAAATGCTGTTGCAATTGATTCAAAAAATCAGATCAATGAGAAAGTCCGGAAGAAAATTTCAGATGAAAAGATTTCTCGCAAAAATTCCCGAATAAAACTTAAGCCGGTCACTTCTGGAAAGATCATTAAATCAGTCAAACCAAAATCATCGCGACCCACAAGCGCAAAAAAAAGTCCTGTTAAGGATACAAAGTTTGATGTTCATAATACATTGGAAGATGCTAAGGGATTGAAAGATGAATGGTCAGTAATGTCAGAACCCAAAACTGATAGTACAGATGATGTCAAAAATTTAGATTCACATCCCACAGAAGAAGTTGACTCAAAGCCTGAAATTAAAAAAGAAAAGAAGTCATTTTGGTTCTGTAGGAATAAAAAGAAGAAACAGGAAGAACTGATAGAAGAGCCTAAACTTGTTCGAGATATTGCACTGAATTCAACACCTAGCAATGCTAGTGAGATTACAACAGATACCGTTGAGATATTTAACAAGATCGAAGTAGAAAAGATAACAAAGCCCCAGCAAAATAAGGGTAGAACAAAAAGCCTGGATAGAGATGAGGCCACAGGGGTGATGTCAGCAGAAATTGCTGATCCTGATGTTCCTGGCGCTAGTAGAGCACAGACTCCTGGCACCAGTAGAACCAGAGCATCAAGTCTTGACAGCAAAAAAGATTACCTTGAAGGAGGTACTTTACACAAACCTGCTGAAGCTGGCCACAAAAAGGAAAAATACATGGGTAAAAAGGCCACCCCTAAACCTTACGCTCCTGATGATTTATCGAAAGCTGATGAAGCCCGTGAAATAGGTGACACTGACCCTTCCTTGTCTTTATCAGAAGGTCAAAAGGGCAAGGGTCCACCTTTAAATAAAGATCCCAAACAAAGTCCATTCTTAAAGAAACTTAAAACAATGCTTTGTGGAAAACCAAACAAAAAGGTACCATTTTTATAAGATAATCATTTTCCAGATTTTTATCTGTGTGATTTAAAAAAAATATAATACAAATGATGACTTTACTAAAAACGAGATGAATCATACCACAAACAATCCATTTAGATTTGACCAAAATGGAAAGGTACAAGCCATATTGGGAATTGAAAGTTTTTGAGATTTCTATAGTACATTGGATTATACACAACATATTTAAATCATTTCTTCTTTTCTTTCTCTTGCTACTCTTTTCTTATCAGAACAATACCAACACAACATCAACACCATCTGCTTCACATTCTGACAATGTTGATAGGCCAGTTGATGTAACCAATCAAGAGGGATATCACATTGATTTTAATTTATATCAACCAATCAGATACATGTATACAACTACAGTACTGAAATATTTTGAAATGTTTAAATATTCAGCATGGTTTCTCTTTTTGCATCCTATTTTTCGATTTTTGTTTTTCAGTTCTGCAGAATTAAATATGCTACAGTTAAACATGTTGGTTGTACTACTATTGAGTCAGTGTTCTATCAGCATTCAAAGTTGTTTCCTACCGATGTATTTCAGTCCTAGAGCAATCTTTTCTTAATATGATCAAGGAAAATTTATTTTTCTCTGATTTTCTTGCAGGATGATAGTGCAAGAGACAGAGGTCGTGTAAACAAGAATGACAATTCTCGAAATAACCTGCCATCACAGCGAAATAATAATCGTCAACCAGCGTCTCGGCGTAATGATGGAAGTAGAAATCGTCAAAACAATAGTAAACAAAGCAGTAGACAGAATGATCAGGTGAGCTTCCATAGTTAAAAGATTTCGAAATGGCTTGTGCCATCAGAATAGTGCCCCAGAATTAATGTTTTTATTACAGATAAAACCCCTGGCTGACGTTTAGTAAAGAGAACCCAGAAATGCATTATTTCCAATGATTCAACAATAGTAAATTCCGAGTAGTTATCCCCATGTCTTATACCAGAAGGAAGGTCTTGTAGCAATTCAAATCCTCCACAAATTGCTGTTCAATTAATGTGCCGGTACTCTTATGGTTACATTCTTGTTAAAAATGTTTAAATATGCATTGCCGGATCACTACTGTTTGCATGATTTGTTCAAATAAAACCCCCAAGTAATTCAGTCTGGTCACTGATTTAATTACAAGCATGTTTGTCACAATCTGAATTATGTTTATTGCATGATGTTTCCCCACTGCTTCTTTTCTTCTTCTATTTATCCTATTTTATGGTTTAAGGGTTAAATTTTACAACAAATATATATATGATAATATCACACAAGATGAATAGTTAGAACATGTAGTTAACGGTATAAATGGTGAAGAGCACATTGGTTTTATTGATATTGATCATAGTTTTATTGTCATTTCCTTTGATTCATTGTGTTAGCTAAGATTGTGTTACCAGTAGATTCACAGGGCTCCTATAGTACTTCTAGTCTGAGACGTATCAGGTATCAGTTTGGAAACAATCTGAATGCAACAATTATAGATCCATTCTGACCAAGGTAGCTAACATAGTGGAGGATAAAGGGAAAGGGCAAGGTAGATTAATACATGAAGTTTTATAAGATAGAAGCATGTCTGTATTGCGACAATTCCTAAATTCACATCATATCGATACTCGTTTCTTCAAAAAGTCTAAATTCACTCCCTTTCTCCACAATTGTGAACCCTCTGTAAATATATTTGGAACAACTTAGTATTCATATCCTTGATTTCTGATGATATAATATAGGATTCTGACAATCATTTCTATTATTTTGGAATTTGTACATACACATCTGTAATGGTCACTTTGCTTTTAGGACATGACATGTTTTAACTGATCTGATTGTCCCATATTATGTCATTCATAATCCCTAATCTCTATGTTTATAGCTTTACCAGATAACAAAATAATAATTTCATGTGTATTATCTGTATTTAATATATAAATTATTGTATTTGGTGGGAGATTTATTAATATAATACTAATTAATTAATCCTGGTTACTCCAATTTACATTTGTCCAAAATGAAGATCATGACTGGAAATGAATTTTATTTTAGACAAATGTGGATTACTTTATTAATATGAAAATAATGGTTATATATACTTAGTCAATAATGCACACATAATGTTATTTAGATATAGAATACAATAACATATTATTTAAGCACTGCATACAATCAAAATCAGC